AGAAAAACCTATTTGCAGTCATTCAGCCACTATTTCTGTGAGCAACAAGAGAACAGGATTGTGAACCTGGTGCTAATAAAATGCTCATTAAGTGAAAAGCAATAAGATGTTAACGTGAAGAGATTCATTAAGGGCTTCAAATTACTTACCTTGAAAGTTCTTTGGTTAGATGAAGGTCAGATTTTAGTCTAACATTTTTCTTTTTCTCTTTGACTAATTAGGTTAATAGTCAGCAGACATCTTCCCTAAAGTACAGGACCTCACTGGGGTAGCCTGCTAAGTGGTGACAGGAAATATTTAGCATAGAAGTCTCCAAGCAAAACTTCTAAATGTTTTCCTTCCAGCCCTGCACATAGCCCCTCAGGGTATTTTTCCTTTGGGGATCAGTAGATATGTGAAGGCAGCTGAAGTAACAATTATACCAAGTGGAATTTTAAAGATGGAGCAATACTATTTTATTTTTCTTGTGGCAAAGCAATAGAACAACGCTCTGATAGGGAGGAACAAACATAGGGCCCTGTATGTTAATGACATCAGGTGTTTCAGTAAAAATAGCAGTTTCTCAGCAGCTGCATTTTAAGAATCTCTCTGAAGGATCAAGCAGGAAGAGAGAGACAAATTGTTTAAACACAAATAACTTTGACAGTTAAAGAACTAGCATGACTAAGCCACTAAAGACAAGTAAAAAGCAAACACTGACACTTGAGCAAATTTAGGCCTCCAAGCAAGTAGAAGTACTTTTAGTTTTCACTGTCACAATCTAAACTCCAAAAAAAAGAAAGGTCTGCAGGCTTTCTGCTGCTTTTCACTGTTGGTGAGATACTGTTAGGGTTGCCATTGCATGCACTGCGTTCCAGAAGATCCCAAAGGCATAACTTGTAGCTGTCATCAACTGGCAAACCAGTCTCCGAGGCCCTCCCAGCTGTTAGGTATCTGAAAATTTCACACGCAACCCAATCCCTTGCCGTGATTATCAAAGAACATACATACTACAGGAGAGGTGGCTAAGAGTTTGTTCACTCTGCCTTAGAAATCTTTTCCAGGGGGTTTCCCTGGTGGTCCAGTGGTTAAGATTCTGCACTTCCACTGAAGGGGTTTGATCCCTGGTTGGGGAAGTTCCGCATGCCGTGAAGTGCAGCCAAATTTAAAAGGAAGGAAGGAAGGACGGAAGGGAGGGAGGGAGTTAGGAAGGAAGGGAGAAAGAGAAAGAAGGAAGGAAGGAAGGAAGGAAGGGAGGGAGGGAGGGAGGGAGGGAAGGAAGGAAGGAAGGAAGGAAGGAAGGAAGGAAGGAAGGAAGGAAGGAAGAAAAGAAAAAAGAAAATCCTTTCCAGGTGTAGGATCAACAAAAGACAGAAAGAAATCCTTTCCAGGTGTGGGATCAATACAACCTTTACAAACAACATAAGTAAATGTTGCATACCATCACAACTTTACTACTGAGCCTTTATACACTCTGTCGTTGATAATCAATTTGGTGGCCAGAAGTTAAATATCCCATAGTATCCCTGGGAGACCCACAGGTCCAATTTTCAGAAGTTAAATATCCCATAGTATCCCTGGGAGACCCACAGGTCCAATTTTCTGACAGTCTCTTGTTTTCTAAACCACCCAAAGTTAACAGTGTCATGGATGTACAACACAAGGCTCTTAAGAAGCAAAGCTAAGGAGCATAAGGCAGCACTCATTACCATTGGCTCAGTGGAATGCTGACTTCTTAGTCATACCACTTATTTGCTCTCAGCTAAGAGAATACTAACTCGGAGAAAAGAATACTCCTTGGAACACCCTTATTCAAAGCAACACAGCCTACCTACAAAGAAAAGCAAAACATCTTTTACGGGTAACATTTTAACATTTAGAGAAGGGATAAATGAAGACATACTTAGGAAACATTCTAAGGAAGGCTCAGAATGCTAAACCAGAAAAATGGTATGGCAATTCCTCAAAATATTAAACATAAGATTACCATACAATCTATCAATTCCACTTCTGCGTATATTCGCAAAAGAAGTGAAAGCAGGAACTGAACAGATATTTGTACACCCATGTACAAATAACCAAAACCACAACAACCAAAAGGTGGAAGCAATCCACTTGGGGTTTCATCAGTGATGAATGGATAAACAAAATGTGGCATATACATAAAATGGAATATTAGGGCTTCCCTGGTGGCGCAGTGGCTAAGAATCCGCCTGCCAATGCAGGAGACACGGGTTCGAGCCCTGGTCCGGGAAGATTCCACATGCCGTGGAGCAACTAAGCCCGTGCACCACAACTACTGAGCCTATGCTCTAGAACCCACAAGCCACAACTACTGAGCCCATGTGCCACGACTACTGAAGCCGGCATGCCTAGAGCCCGTGCTCTGCAACAAGAGAAGCCACCACAATGAGAAGCCCACGCGCCGCAACAGAGTAGCCCCCGCTCGCCGCAACTAGAGAAAGCCCATGCGCAGCAACAAAGACCCAATGCAGCCATAAATGAATGAATGAATGAATAAATAAACAGTAGTATTACTCAGCCTAAAAAGGAAGGAAATTCTGACACATGCTACAACAGGGATGGACCGTACAGACATTACGCTAAATGAAATGACCAGTATTTTATAGTTTACTAAATACTTTAATATATGTTACATTATATGTAATTCTCACAACCACTTCCCTGTAAAACAATTGATATCATCATGACCTCCATTTTATAGATGGTGGAAAGAGGTCCAGAGATGCTAAATAACTTGCTCGAGATCACATATTAAGTGGTAGAGATAAAAATTAAAAACCCAGTTTCTCTAACTCAAATTTCCATGCCCATGCCCCCTTCAATACATCATACTGAGTTTTCTGTTTACCTCCATAGTAGCCTTTGATGTAACACTATAGAAGGAGGTGTTACTATATAAAAGAAAGAGCCCTGGACTTGTGAATTAGAAGACCTATGATTAATTCTCAGCTTTGCCACACAACAATTGTGGGATTTCTGCAATTCAAATATCCTTAAGACTCAGTTTCCTCATTGGTAAAAAGTATATTTTTTTAAAGCTTATAATGCATGCTATAGAGTCTGACGACTGAAGAAGACAGCAGTTTAAGAAAGAGCAGCAACAAGTTTAGCACTTATTAAGTGAAAATAAATGTTAAAAAGGAAAAAAGTAAACTTTTGCAGGCTCAGCATCACCAGTATTTCCCCCTGCTCTGGCTTTAGTGTGATAAGTGATATTCTAACACATCTTTCCAGTAACCTCTTGAAAAAACTGACTGGATCTTTGATACTTTTTACATATACTCCAAGTCTAATTCATTAGCAACAGTGAGGATGATATAATTACTCGCTGCAGCAAGTTCATCAAAGAAGTTTGAGGAATGAAAATGGAGGTATAGGTAGGCCTGATAGAGACCTAAAAAGAGAAGGAAGAGGTCATGGTTATCTGCTCAAATCTCAGGCCAGTCGTTTCTGGGCTATTCGGAAAAGGGACAAAAAACAGAAAAAAGAAAAAGGACAGGCCAATAGCTTAAATCAGCTGTTTGATGGCCCTTGGGAAGAATGACAGCAGCCAAGCCAGAAGCCACTGAAAGGAAAAGCAACAAGGTAGGATATAAAGAAAGCATAAAGGATTGTGATCAAGGAAACAGGCCCCAGATGAAAAGGAACTGCCTGGAAAGCCTAAGTAAATACATGAATAAATAAACACAACATAAATCATACCCATATGCACTTCATACTGTAGCCCGGAATCTGGTGTTTCTTTCAAACACTCACATTTGTCATACTGCCCTTGGGTCACAAAGGGATATTTGGGAGAAAGCAGTTTGTAATTCCTGAATCCTACAGAAAATCACATTTATCATAAGGCCTTACTACAGTATCTGGCTTATTTGCTCGATGCAGTTATGTATTTAGTTGTGAGATTTATAAAACCGTGTTTACTAAAAAATGTCTCGCGTCAGGTAAGGCAGATCAACCTTCAATACCTTCAATACAATCTTGTTAGCACATCTCACCCCCATGCTCCCTCATCCCAGCCCTCCCAACACACACAATTCACACTTTTTCTTTTGTTCCCAGATTTGCCAAACACTAGTACATCACTGCAGGGACAGGACATTTTACCTTTAAAAAAAAAAAAAAGGGCAAGAAAAGAAAGATATAGAAATAAACACAATCCCAGCTCTGTCACAAATTAGAATCTATACCAAGTTGTAAATGTGCATTACTATTACTGGAAATGTCTGGCAAGGCTTACATCTGGAGCTAAATCAAGTTTCCCCATCTGTTGGGTTTGCCTCTTCTACTCAATGTTAATTTTTCAATTGTTTGCAAGAGCAATATAATAACTGTTGAGAAAATGAAAAATGATAGGCACAAAGGGAGCAAGGCATGTAAGAAAAGTCAGCCTTAGGTTTCATAATACTGAAGGCACATTCTCTCCATTTACTAACAGCTCACTCCTGTGAGTGTGTGCTACTTCCTCAAAACCCTAAACCAACTCCATGTCTGACTCAATTTTATCCAATACATACAGCACGCTATAATTGCCTTGCTGTTTCATAAGAAACCTGAAATGACTTAGCCCCATGAGCTCCATTTGGCTCTGTTTACCACAAACAGAAATAGCCATGTAAAGCAAAACGTCAAAGTTCCAGATCCCCATGAGTCATTCATTCAACTCTTGGAGAATGACAGAAAAAATTGCCACACAACAGCTTTCAGATGACCTATACACAGAAAACACTTTGGCAACAAAGATGCTGAAACGGGCTTGCAACCATCTCTTGGTAAGAAAATTCAGAGAAGAGCAAACACTGTGAGTTATTTCAATATGACAAAATGAAAGTCACATGCATTCCTGCTTTTCTTGATCAAATATGACAATTTCTTCCACTCCTACAGACATCAGGGCTTAAAATAGTGGTGCTGTTCAACACACTCCACTTAGAAAGGTACAATAAACCTCAGGATGAGCCAAGGAACTCTGAAAGAGATAAATCCTCATTCCTCACCTGATATTAACCAACGCGTGGGTCACCTTGCTAGCTGCTTCTTTCCACTGGCCTGCATTGGTAGAAAGCCTCAGGACTGTAAAAAAGGAAAGAACAAAGACGTGTTAGACCCCTGGTATAAAACACAAATATGAGGAATGAAGACACATCGCAGAATATCACTATTAGAATAACCAAATGGAGCCTGGGCCAATCTTCTATTTAAGACATCTTCATCTAGGGAAAAAAGTAAGGGCTTATTCTCAACTATCTTTACCGCAAACTTTTTCCTCTTTTTTTCACTTTCTATCAAAATATTCTACTTCTCCTCTGCCTTGGGCTCCCCTCTCTCCACTCCCTGCTAGTTTTTGCATTCATTTAAAATCTACACTGGGGTGTGATGGGTCACCTGATTGCCACATTTATCATTTCCCTAATGGCTGGGGCTGATTTAGTGGAACTGGCCAGCTGAGCAAGTGCCCCCTCCTGCTCCACATACAGTATGTCTTTCTCCTGAAGGTCTAAGCTGGGTCAAACAGGACAAATAACCTTGCAAGATAGAAGATGGTCATGTTTCAATCAAGGAGTAACCTGTTTTAGCTCCTCTGACTTAACTGTGTGACCTGCAACATGAATCAACAGGAATATTCTTCCCTTCTCTGACCAAAGTCTCTTTTCCACCCTTACTCACAGGAGAAGGAATGATGGAAATACAAATCATCATATCCTCTATCAGCTATGAGCTTCATGGTCACACATTACAGTACCTACACTATTTTGGAAAAGAGACAAACCAGCACAAGTGCTCCTTGAAAGAGCAAGCATATGGTGGGCACTCCAAGCATATGTTTTTAACGAGTGAATAACTAATATGAGCTAAACATGTAGCGAGTTTACTATGTGCCAGAAATTGGACAAAGGTTATATGCAATACAGCATACATATGAGACTCGGAGGAGACAAATAATTAATTGATCAAGTTCATTCACAGAGTTGTAGGTAATGGAGCTAGAATTTAAACCTAGAGGGAATGGTTCTACAGCCTGCACTTACACAGTGAATGGTTAAGAGTGTGAACTCTGAAGCCAACTGTCGGAGTCCCAGTCTAGCCCCTGCCACTTACTAGAGAATAATACCAATACTTACATGAAAGGATAATCATGAAAATCAAATAAGTTACATATAAAGCCTTAGATCAGTGCATGGCACATAGTAAATGTTATATAAGTATTAGCTATTATGAATTTAAATAGACTTGTCTCCCAAACAAATAAAAGAATGTACCTGAGACTTTCTCAAAGGTTGGAAGTCACAGCCTAAGTAACATTAAGAAATGTGTAATCAATCTGCATAGGAACTTTACACCTGAGTACCATCACTACCTACTCCTGACCAGTATTCCTCTAGCAAGAAGAGTAGTAGCAGCAGCTTTACTAGAGGGAGGGCCTATAACTGTAATAGGGAAAGAAAGTTCATCTGGCTGTTCTGCATCTATTCTAGCAATACTTCATTTTTATAAATTCATGCAATTTTATGAAAGAGAAGATGGAAGCCTTAATAAAACATGATCAGAGAGCTGCTTTTCTAATTTACAAGATTTAGTGAAGGGGAACTTGGTATAGTTTCAAGTTAGAGCTCTACAGTCTGAACTCAGGTTTCACCTAGTGTTTGTGCAAATTTATTCGCGTAATGAACAAAATTGTTTCAAGCAGGTCAGATGTATTTTTTTCAACTCAATTGCAAAAACTGTTTAGATGCATCTGTTTTTCACTAGACCCTCCACTAAATCATAAATTCTCTGATGGTGAGGACCTAACCCTTACGGAATTGAGCTGAACTTTACTCTCCTTACCTCAGAGAGGTATTTAACTCTGTCCATGTATTATTTCTCTGTTAACATCCTGTCACTTCTGTTCTTAGTGAACAAGCACCCAGACCTCATCACTGCATTTCCCTTGGAAATGCCATAGGCTTTTACATTCTTTTCTAAGTTACCAAATTTAAACACAAAATTATCTCAAAATGCCCTAAATGCCTCAAGCTAAGGTTATCATTTATGTAGTAAATTATGGTACACAAAAATAGCATACCATGTGGCCATTAAAGAAAGAGAGTTAAGTAACAGCAAAAACTGGAAACTGTAATTTCCATGAAAAGAAGGAATGGTTAAATAAACTACATCCATACTATGCAAAAAATGAGAGAGAGGGAGAGAGAGAAAGAGACCTAAGAAAACTACAAAAAAAAAGGAAAATGTTCTGACGGTTTAAAAAAACACGAAATAGGAAAACATAATTACAACTATGTAAAACTATGCATACAAGTAGACTAATATATAACTATGAAAACAGTGGTCATACTAGAAAGGAGAGATTGTAAAAATGTTTTTTACCTTGCTTTTTCTTTTCTAATTATCTTTTTTTTTTTTAATGAAAAAAACAGTTCAAAATATGGTATCATTTATGGTTCAGGGCAGCTTGTGTCAAGGTCCTTCCTATTCAGCGGATATCACTGCAATAAATTAATGCCATAGGAATATTAAATGTGTGCCTTTATCAAAAAAGTCTCAGTGAGCCTTCCTCTTCTAGCCATGATAGAATATCAAGACATAATTAACCTTCCTACCTCAAACAATAGAAAACTGAACAAAATATATGAAACAAGAGTTTTCAGACACTGGACAACAAGTATATAGAACTGTGATCCCTGAAGAAGGAAAACAAACAAGGTGAACCCTACGATTACCCCAGCTTACTATGTGAAAAAGTTTCTAGCCTACAGGGCAGGGAGGAGGAACTTAAACAGAATCCAGAAGTCGTGCCAAGCCAAAGACATAGAGATAAGCAACTGGGCAGGCCAAGGCACCTAGAATTTGTGGGGTAGAGTACTGTAGAGGAGGGAGTTTGACAGGGAACTATGGAAGTTTGTAGAGGGGTCCTCTTCCATCTTTTGCTGAGCACCGATCTTCACACAGGGAAGAGGAAACTACCCAAAGCTGGCGGTGAAGAACCACTGGAAAAGAGAAGAAATTGTGGCGCTCATAGAAGGCTCCACAAATAAAATAATTTGCATTTCTACCAGCAAGAGTGGAAAAACCTACTAATACATGGGTTATCAGGTAGAGTCTGCAGATGGGTACTGCATTAGTAATGGGGCCAAATTAGTCCATAATAAAAGTTGCTCTCAACCTGCCCTAACAACCCTTAAAAGCAAACCCTAAAAGGATGAAACTGATTCCACACAACACAACTGCATTCCAGAACAAAGTCCAACATTATATAAAAAAAGTAAGAAAATCAAGCACTTACAACATTAACATTACAATGTTATAAATCCAATTTAAAAATTACCAGCATTCAAAGAAGCAGAAAAAAATATGACCCATAAGCAGGAGAAAAATCAGTCAATAGAAACAGATCTAGACATGAAGAGAGATGATGGAATTAGCAGAAAAGGACATTAGAACAGCTATTGTAAATATGCTCCATATGCTCAGGAAGATTGAGGAAAATATAAACATGATGAGGAAAGAAATGAACATATTAAAGAAAGAAGTCTAAATAGAACTTCTAGGGAAGAAAATGCTTTATGAAACAAAAAAATACACTAGGATGAAATGAATTGAGATTAATGAGATTAACAGCACATTAGAAAAAACACAGAAGAAAAGATCAGTGAATTTGAAGACTGAGGAATAGAAACTATCTAAAACGAAAGACAGGGACTTCCCTGGTGGCACAGTGGTTAAGAATACACCTGCCGGGCTTCCCTGGTGGCGCACTGCTTGAGAGTCCGCCTGCCGATGCAGGGGACATGGGCTCGTGCCCCGGTCCGGGAAGATCCCACAAGCCGCGGAGCAGCTAGGCCCGTGAGCCATGGCCACTGGGCCTGCATGTCCGGAGCCTGCGCTCCGCAACGGGAGAGGCCACAACAGTGAGAGGACACAGATTCAACCCCTGGTCCAGGAAGATCCCACATGCTGCAGAGCAACTAAGCCCAGGAGCCACAACTACTGAGCCCGTGCACCACAACTACTGAAGCCCATGTGCCTAGAGCCAGTGTCCTGCAACAAGAAAAGCCACCACAATGAGAAGCCCGCGTACCGCGACAAAGAGTAGCCCCCACTCACTGCAACTAGAGAAAGCCCGTGCGAAGACCCAATGAAGACCCAGTGCAGCCAAAAATAAATAGTATAAATACATAAAATAAAATGAAAGAGAGAGAAAAGACCAAAAAAAAATGGAAAGAAAGGAAAAAATACCCACAGAGCTTTAGTGACCTATGGGACACTGTCAAGAGGTCTAACATATATATAATTGAAGTTCCAAAACAAGAAAAGAGGAGAGAGGACAGAAAAATATCTGAAGAAATTAACAGCCAAAACTTTTCCACATTTGATGAAAACCAGAAATCCACAGATCCAAGAAGCTCAAGAGACTCCAGGAAAAATAAAGAAAACCATGTTAAGGCACATGATAAACTACTGAAAATCAGCAATAAAGAGAAAATGTTAAAAGCATGCAGAGAAAAAAGATATATACAGAGAAATGAAGCTAAGAATGACAGTAGACTTCTCATCAGGAATTATGCAAGCCAGAAAACAACAAAATGACATTTTTTTAAGTATTGAAAGAAAAATTCTATATTCAGCAAAAATGTCTCTAAAAACTGAAGATGAGACTCCACTTCCCGTGTGGCAGAGTAAGCCTACTTCAGCCTCTCTCTCCTGCTGATTACAGTTTAAAATCCTGTATAAAATATAAAAAGTATTACCTGAGGGCTCTGAAAATTAAACAAAAGCAGACAGATTATAGAGGGGAGTCAAAACTTGGAGAAACACCCACAAAAGTGGGTTTCCAGGGTTTCTTTTTTCTTATTTTTCTTTTGCAGGTTTGCCTCAAGATCCAGACAGTCACAGAGATGCATGATAGAGGAGTTGGGTGGATGGCTAAAACTTCAATAGAAACCTCATCTTTCTGTAGACAGAAACCAGGAAAAGGGGCTTCTGCTACCCAGAGAACATAGAGGGAATCCTGGACAGACCAGGAGAAAGTGTTCCTCTAATTCCGCACATGAAAGTTACGCTCATGGGAGCTG